AAGTCCACAAGTCTTAAAGTGGCCAAGTTTGGGAACCACTGCTTTAAGCCCTCTCCACAGTCAACAAAGTTGACTATAAAAACTGAGCTGAAACACAGCTGGGCATGGTGTGTGTGGGAAAGAGAAGAGGGTGTCTGTTTGTAAAGCAATCAAAAAGACATAGTAGGACTCATCAGGAATAGTAGTTGCAGTAGTAGGATTAGCAAGAAGTCCTAGTTGTATCAGTGGGGGGAAATGATGTAGTGGTGAGTAGTAGATAAATTGGAATGCTTGTGTATATGTTGTCTAGGGGTGTATGCTGTGTTGGTTCTTTTGTGTCGAGCCCACAGAATTGGATATAGTTAAAAGAACCTGAGATACATGTTATTGTGGGATATCCATAAACAAGTGGGGTCTCAATTAAATACTTTATGAAAAAGAAACCAATATTAGCTAAAAGGGGAATTTGGCCTTTGCAGAACTCAAACTTTGCAAACAATAGCCAACATCCTACTTGCAGAAACTGCACCTCTTACCAGAACCTTTACCACATCCACAGAGACAGTGAAAAGATAGAAGGTACAGATTCTCCTTACAGACTACTACTTTGGCAGAGATAGATATCCAACCTACGCCGGGAATTAAACCAAAGAAAGTAGACCAGCCAGAAATGGGATTAGGCTCAAATACTTGGGCCAGTATCATCAGGGAAATGTTAAAGAAATAGCAACAGAAAAAGCTTTGATTAAAACAGGAGAACTGCTTTGCAGGGAGACAGAAAGGAAAAGTAGGCTACAATGGGAAAAGAATGAAAGAAACAAGAAGAGAAGAATTTAGGAGCTCATAGATTTATTTAAAGGGGACCAGTCCAGTCACCAGAAAGGGCACAAATACCTCTTAAGTTTTTCAGAATGCATAGAGAGATGGTCTCAAAGACATAAAAATCCCTAAAATGTCAGAAGTTCTAACAATAGCATATTTACCATGTTTGAAAGAATTGCTACCTCTTGTGAATGGGTCTTAATAGCCCCATGTTTAAGAGGAAAGGTTTTGAGAGTTTGTAATAGTCTTGCAGCAAGAGAAGTAATGGATTATTCCCAAAATGGTCAGAGGATGTTAGAAAAATAAAGGAGAAACAATAGGAAAGCCTGTTCCCAAAAGAAGCTGAAAGGGATAAAGGTAAAAGCCTTTAGCTTCTGCTCAAACAAAAAGGGAGCATTGGGAAGTCAGAGCCCTGTGGTTGTTACAATGGTGGGACTTTTATCAAAACTAAAAGCCAGAGGAAAAAGGGAATCTCTACAGTATGCAAGCAACTCTGTGGAGAAAAATTATAATCCCAGCAAGTTAATGCGGTCACTGTTACAGGATTAGTAGGTACTGGGAGTAGATGAATGTTGGTACATTCTCATTTCATAAAAAGGCAGCATCGGGGAAAAGAGCCCCTTACAAGTATGTTTGGGCAGATTGAGAAGGTTCCATTGTTAAAGCCAGAGTGCCGATACAGGAAAGCAACAGGTAATAGTGGTAGGAGTAAGCCTAATGTAACCTAATGATTGGAACAGATTTTTCATTTATAGAGGGACTCAGAAAGAAGGATTCAAGAAGGAGGCTAAGAAAGAGGGTATAACTACAAGAGCTCAGTCTAAGACAAAGACAAGGATGGAACAGAAACAGGAAGTGAAGGAACCTGGGATTTGTCCTAATCATCCTGGTTTTATAGGAGAAATGAGATGTCCCAGAAAGGAAAAAGCTTTATGAAAGGTCAACAAAACTAGGGGTGAAGTCATAGGGACAGACATTCCTAATGGAAAATTCACCTGGGACACTTACAAAAGAAACCAATATTGTTGGCTAGCAGAAAAGGAGAGAAATGGGGAAACAACACCCAGATTCTAAGAAAAAGCAAGGTCGCTGTACTGAATAAGGGATTCATCCCTATATGAAGGAACAAATTGGACAGATAACAGTTTGCCAAGGAATATACTGCAGGGCAATATTGGAAGTAGCCCCTGAAATTCCATGGTCTGGACTTATGTGTAGGAATAGGATCACATACAGAATTTTAGATTTTAGAATATTAGGACAGGGATCTGTAAAGAAGTGGCCCAGTAATGTAGATCCTGCCTTATGTTTCAATTTGTAAAACCAAAAGGGGAATATGATAAAGTTCCTATGGAGAGATTGCCTTTAATCTCTACTTTTCTAAAATAGCTATGAACACTGTAGGACTTTTGCCACAATGTAGTAAATGATTATATTCTAGTTATCTATGATTATGCAATTCAATATCCTGAAGGAATGTGATTACCAAAAGAATAGCAAAGTAGCTGGTCAAAATCTTTAAGACATGTAGGCATACCAAATGAGATCCTTGCAGATCAAGGATCCAATTTCTAATCAGTGCTGCTGTATATGTGGGCCTGGGAATAAAAGGGGTGCATACAAGTCCTTATCCATAGCCAATTATTCTTATGGAAAGGGCGAACCAGAAATATTAAGAAATATGCAGGCCAAGACTCAAAACATTGGGATATGTGGTTGCCTTTTCTATTGTTTCCCTACAGGATAATTCCCAAGACATTAACAAAATCTTTTGAGTTACTTCATAGCAGACAATGTTCAAGAGTTTTAGACATTATTAAGGAAACGTATAGTGTGAAAACTTAGAAGGCCCGAAGAACTTAATCAAATATATATTAATGCAGAGGAACAAGTTAAAAGTCCTAGGACACATTGCCCAGGAATATTTAGAGATAGTCACGGAAGGCCGGAAAGACACTATGATAAAAAATTAAAGGCAAAGCAATTTAGTATAGGAGATCAAGTGCTGTTGTTATTACATGCTAAAAAAAGCAAAGCACTTGATCTCCTATATTAAATTGCCAGGTAAGGTTCCCACATAGTAAAGAAAAGAACTGGGCCAGTAAATTATGAACTTGAATTGGAAGGGAGGAAAAAGAATCCACCATGCCATCCTCCTGAGGAAATGGCGCAATACAGCTGAACCTAGAATGGTTTTGTTTGTTCTAAAAGAAAGGCATCCAGAATTGTTGAATTAAGCTTGGGAGACAATACTGTAACTATCCCATGGAAAAATACATATTAATTTAGACCTAGGAGACCATCAAAAGAAAGAGATAGAAAAAATGTTGGGAGTGTAAACATATGTTTACCATATAATCAATGTAACTACTCCTAGTAGAGCATATAATAGAAATGGGGAAACCAGACTGATTAGACAATGTCCATATAGGATTCCTGAGCAGTTGAAAGCTGTGTTACAAAATAAAGTAGAAAAGATGCTCCAGATGGACATTATAGAACCATCTCAAAGTGACTGTCCAATTTTATTGGTCCCAAAACCAAATGGAGACATATGATTATGTGTAGACTTCAGACAAATAACACTCAGACTTTCCCCAAGTTTTATGAGTTAGTTGCAAAATGTCATAGCTTCAATAGTCTATGTTACATGCTTGGGAAGTACTCTAGGAAAATCTGAGTTGAAAAGCTATAGAGTATCATTGCTACTGTACTTAGCAACATAGATATTTAGCTTTATGAATCAGTAATGTAACACGTATGCACAAACACATTTCCTGACATATACATATTTGTAATAAATTGCATGAAAAATGCCCTGGCTTATAGAATGTTTTGCTACTATTTCTTTTTATTGTGCTCCTTAAGGTCCATTACTTGGATTCATCTCACCATTATTTTACATAACTGCTGTAGCAAGCTATCACATTTAGAAAAGCTAATCTATTTAAAGTTGTTAAGGATGTTTTCTTATTTGTTTGTCTATTATTTAATTTATATGCTGCCCATTTCATAGCAACTCTGTGCAGCTCACTATAGAAAAAAAGGTAAACAAAATATAAGATGATTAAAATTAAAAGGATTGAATAGGAAACTAAAAACCAAGAAGTTCGGTGACATGGGGGTGGATATCATCTCTGTCAACCCCAATAGGCACTCCCATTATAGCAAGCCAATATCAGGGTCCCATAGCAGCTAGCAGAGCCAGGTTTTGAGATCTAATAAATTAATACTCATTTACTGAAAGAGTTATTGACATGTTATATAAAAATAACGCCTTAAAAGTAAGCAACAATATATACTTTCAGGTAGTTTTACGGTGGTGGTGAGTTAGGAAAAACTTTCAATGTGTATATTCAATAGGTTCTTACTAGTTAGCTTAACAATGTTTTCTGAAAAATCCTGAAATGCTTTATTCTTGTTTGCCTTTGTACTGTTCAAACAGAATGATTGCTATGTACAAGATACAGGTTATTAATACATAAGATATTTTTCATTGTTAATAAAAGAGTGACATCAGGTGGATAGTTTGTGCATAAATACAGTTAGGTTTTTAGTTTCATCAGGGCCTTTCCCCTTTCATAATATATGAATGCATATTTGTATTAACTCAGTTGAGAAACTTTCTCTTCTCCTACATTGTCACTTCTATTATGGTAACACTGCATTTTCTTGAAATTGAAATCATTATAATTTGGAAAATGTAATGGTTTTCTCAGTTTTGTTTTCCTATAAAAATTGCTGTAAATATACAGGCAGGACCAGTGTACAATGATACAATGTATATATCAAAATGTAATAGAATAAATCTAAATAGAAGCATGCATTCTGTGGTCCTTTAAATCAGAGACTAATGAGGGATGATGGAATTTTTTGGTGAAAAATACCACAGATTCTTAATCATTGATAAGCGAAGAAAGAATAAAGTTTTTAAAGCTGGCCAATGCACTTTAATTTTTTTGGAAGGAATAGATCTTTAATGGGTAGGTAGGTAGGTAGGTAAATTATATGAAGTGGATATGATCATATCATGCACAGGGATGGATTTCTGTCCCTCCATATTATTACAGCTTGAAGAGATTGTACCATAATGTTCAACTTATAAATGTATTATTAGAGCTCCACATCAACACTTAAGAAGTACCAACATAGTTAATAATTTGAATATCAGAAACAGTATATCTATTATAGATACTTACGCTGTTCTTGATACTGGGGAACCAAATGAATAGCTTTCAATTCTCTTGTCTCAGTATTGTTTACACAAAGTATATGAGTGCCATTTTTCAACTGACATATTATCTAAAATAAATAACCAATTATTAGTTTGCTACAATTTTCATTCTATGTGTAGCAGAAGTACTGTATTTATGTAAAAGGGACTCATTAAAATCTTTACTTAAAACCAGTGCATTAATTTCTGGTATTAACACTGAATATTTGTGTAGTTTTGGAGGAATATACAAAGATGTCCATACTCGCACTTAAACAATGCTCAATACTTTACATTTCTGTTTATTGCATAATACTGCAATCATATTGTACATTTATCAGGGAATAGGTCTTATTAAACTGAAAGGTATTATTACTTCTAAATTGTAGATTTTAAGACTGAGCTCTAATCTTTTGCATTAAATAATGAAAAAGAAGTCTGAGTGCTTGCATGCACGTGAGAAGGAACACCACATCCTCTCCATACCTGCTAGCGGCTTGTACCTCTAATCTACTTTGTTCTACCACTTGTGACTTTCACATGAATAAGGAGTACATATTTATATTATACCGTTTCACAGTGCTTTACAGCCCTCTCTAAGTAGTTTATAGAGTCAGCATTCTGCCCCTAACAAGTGGGCCCTCATTTTACTGACCTCGGAAGGATAGAAGGATTATAAAAGCAGTTATCAAGCTTTTTAAAATATTACTGTGCCATTTGTATAGCTATGTTAGCCATAAAAAATCTAACAAATATAAAAATGACTCAAGAAATTTTTAATAAAACATGCAAAATTCTCTAATGGAGATATATATTGTTATTATGACGAGCTTATATTTACCACTTGAGGAGTGGAGTAATTTCTCTGCGAATAAGAGGGTTCCTCCACAGCATTTTGTTCAGCTGCCAGATTGTGGTCTGCCTCAGCACCATTTGAACTGTGAAAAACACCTTCTTCAGTATTATTTACTACAAGGCTTACAGCTGTCTCTTTGATCTCATTCTGAAATACAAGAATTTCATATTTGAAATGGGATACATTATATTAGAATATTAAGAATAAAATCTAATAATTTAAACAGAATATGCTGACATTGATATGTAAATAAGAATTTCAAATTATCACTATTCTTAATTGTCATTAAAATATTTTTTAAAGGAACATTTTTATTTTCTTTTAACAAGTGGCTAAAGAGTATCAAAGAAAATATGGCAGAATTTTTTTCCCAACTTCTCCAGGGAAATGCCTGCTTCATGAGCTGTGGCCATTTGGTTTTTAAGGGTTTCATCAAAGACTCCTACATAGTTAGCATTTGTAGACAGGGCATGTTTATGTTATTTATTTTTTATTAAATCTATATTCTGAATGTTTGTTTTTAATAATCCTAAAGCAGATTCTGTTAGGATATCAGACTTTGTCTCTTTGTTTAAAATATTTGTATTCTTTTTCATTACCAATCCTTCCCCTTGGAATAAAAATGATATAATAAAAAGGATGAGCAATACAGTAACACATAAATGACTAATATATATAATAAATAATCTGAAAACATAATTCAGGGCATATATAGATATGGTACATAGAAACAAAGTTCAGCTTTAGAAGGCCTTCAAATGGTGATTCTGCTTGCATGATAATTCATAAAGTTCTATTAGATGTTGCAAGAAATGTCAAATTAATACTTACAAATGTATCATAAACAGGATCTGCATCTTGAGGTGAAATACATATACCATTGCAAGATTCTATTGCACAAAACAAATGTGAAAAATTATAAGGACAAATTATACCATATATAAACCATTGAACTCAAAAAGCAAAATAACTTTGAAAGTATCTAAGATTAATTCACCAAAATACCTCTAATGTGAAAGATGGCATAGACAACTCTATTAAACATCTTCTTAACCTTTCTTCCTATGGGAGGTTCACCTGAATCTTACTCCCATTTTAAATAGATTTTTTCTATTTGCAGGAGGAATATCCTGGTTGCAATATAATTTATTCAGATACTGATATTATAAAATCACTTACCATTAGAGCAGCCTGATACGGTTTGTGACACTGTAGAATTATTAACAATCCCTTTGATTTGGTCACAAGAAATAATGCTATTTGCACTTGAAGGAGTTAATAAAGGCCTCAGTACCTAGGAAACAAAGTAGGCATACTACTGAAGCTTAAAACTATTATTTACATTGTAAAATTAAGCCTTTATGATTATCTAATATTGAGCTTTCTTTAGCAGAAAATATTTTCCCACCTAGGTTGTAGAATTTCATATTTTCTGTTCCACTACCTTTTGCAGTTATATTGTATAACTTTTATCTATTATCATAATCCATTGCTATAGAGACTATCCCAGATGCTCCAGAATAGATTTCTGAAGGGAGTGAGAAGTTTAAGATTGTTGACTATATTAGCAATAATCTGAGGTCCTGATACACTTTCATTAACATACTCTCTTTTGAAACATGAAAACAGGAAAGTGGAGGGATTCTATAGAATACTTAAACTTTCATAAGGCTTTGCACAAATCTCAATACTTCCTGAACTAATTTAGGATAGAAGACAGCTCTTTTTATGGATTAGGTCGGGGGTAGTTAACCTTTTTTACCTACCGCCCACTTTTGTATCTCTGTTAGCAGTAAAATTTTCTAACCGCCCACCGGTTCCACAATAATGGTGATCTATAAAGTAGGGAAGTAACTTTACCTTATAAAATTTATAAAGCAGAGTTACAGCAAACCCATACCCCCCACCATGAAAGCTGGAACACCCACTAGTGGGCGGTAGGGACCAGGTTGACTACCACTGGATTAGGTAAAAAAAAAAATTACAGAACAGGAAGCAGTGGGAAAAATACTTTTTCTGCAGTGAAACAAACTATATATATTTGCATATATGCATAAACAGAAGAAAACAGCTTCCAGATCAGTTTCAGAAGCTTCGAAAAACATGCCCTTGATCAAAATAGTTTTTTAAAAGTGCTTTGTTTCCATATGTTCTGTAATTTTTTTTTTTACCTATTCAAGTGGTAGTCAACCGGGTCCCTACCGCCCACTAGTGGGCGTTCCAGCTTTCATGGTGGGCGGTAGGGGTTTGCTGTAACTCTGCTTTATAAATTTTATAAGGTAAAGTTACTTCCCTACTTTATAGATCACCATTATTGTGGAACCGGTGGGCGGTTAGAAAATTTTACTGCTAACAGAGATACAAAAGTGGGCGGTAGGTATAAAAAGATTGACTACTCCTGATCTACGGATTACATT